ACCAGCCAAGAAGCCACGGGGTGCGGCGTGGAGAGGCAGGTGTTTCTGACTCCGGCGCAGGGGATGTTCCCGGGGGGCTGGCAGTGTGGGGTTTGGGAGTCCCATGCCGTGGCAGTCTTACCCTAGATCCTCCAACGACTCCAAGATGTCAGTCTCCATGAGGTCACACTCCATGCTACTGTGGTATTCAAATTTCCGAGTCGTCAGGCTCCCCTCTTCGCCGGCAACGCGTACACTGGCGCATGCGCTGCCTCCCCGGAACTTCCAAATCGACAGCTGGCGCCTCAGCTTTTGCACTGCGCATGTCCGGAGCGTGCGCAAGAGCATAGGTCCCGCCTCCGGCCCCAGCCCTACTAGCCAAAGGATTGCTGAGCCGCACAGGACTGCGCATGCGTATTACTGAACCGTGAAGTCCGTCGCCCAAAGAAGGGCAGGTGGACTGGCGGCGTGGCAGCTGGGCGTGGGGAACCCGCGAAGGGGCTGTGCTCTGTGCTTTCTTTATTGGGTGTACGCATGTGCGAATCTTGGGGAGCTGGGCTGGGGAAGAGCCTGGAATGGGTGGGTCTCGGGACTTGGGTGGGTGTCGGCTGTGAAACCAAGTGTGCATCCCGAAGAGTAGGTGGAGTGGTCCTCCGAAACCTGCTGGAGTGTTCTAATCTCAGCTGCGGGTCATGGCCACGGGGAGAATTCGTGAGCTTCAAGTCTCATTGCCCTGGGCAGAGGAAGGCGGGCCCAAGTGCAGATAACGTGCCATTTGAGCTTCTTGTGTCTGCAGTGTGGTGAAACCGTATTGCAGGACTAGGGAGGAGTCAGCTTTCTTTTGACACGGATGCATTGGGAATATTGTGTCTTTTAACCCATGTGCATTTTCTGCCTGATTTCTTAAGTCCTTTCCAAACATTAAGCGTTTTATTTTAAAGGAGAAAGAGACTTCTCTCCATATTCAATAGAATATATTTAAATCACGCAGTTTAGACTATGAATAAACTTTAAGACTGTAATGGCATTGCGTTGGAAATTGTCTATAGGAATTGTTGAAAAATGAGAAAAATTGTCTTCAAAGTGATGGCATACTCAGGAAATTATATTTATCCGTAAATTGGCATACTGTTAAATCGTGTGGGTATTTAAAGAGTTTTCACATAGGTGCCAGTAGATTTTAACTTGTAGTTCTCAAAGATTTTCATTTCTATGGATAATGCTCCTTATCCTTAATAATCCCTTTGTGAGTTTCTCATTTTGCATCATCTGTAGTAAGGGAAGGTTACCTACTGTGTGCTTGCCTGGTCTTAACTCCTTGACCTGTATTATGATGTAATCATACAGCTATGCAAATATTCATGGTTTACAACTGAAGATGCTAAGGATCATTGACTTAATAACCTGTCAAAGATCTTAGGGCCCAGAATATAGAACTGGATTTTGAGTCTGAGGCATATCTCAATTCATAATTCTTATTATTTCATTAGTCAAATAAGAATTTATAAGCAGGATGTGAACAGAAAGGAAATTTTAGCTAGTTGAATTTGTTTAAGTTTGTGTACATTGTACATAGTTATTAGAGGAATGGAATACTTATTTTTCTTTCTTCAGGGATGCTGAAGTTTCTAAACAAAAAATAATGCTTAATATAAAATCAAGTTTGAAAGAAAAAATGTTTCATTCTTAACTCACTTTTTTGATGTAAATATTAATACATAATATTGAGTTGTCAGGAAAGTCATGACGCATTGGGAACCAGCAGTTAGCATAATGGCTATGTCGCTGGACTCCCATGTAGTCGACCGCGGTTCGCATCCTGTACCCGGTGGCTTAAAACTCACGCCTGGCGCGTGTGCGTGCATGCCCAAGATCCCAGGAGGAGAATGGAGGAGAAGGGATTGCGGCGTGACCATCCCCCCTGGGGGTGATTTCTCGCTTTCTGTCTCTATGTCTCTGTCTGTCTGGCGAGCGCATGCGCCCTATAGCGAAAACCTCTCCAAAAAAAAAGTCATGACACATTTTGCATAGAAAAACAAAAATATATGTCATGAGTTTCCCAACAACCTAATATTAGTGCATGAATAAGTTACAACTTCCCTAAATTTATTACTTTTCTCTTTCTGCTACAAATCATTAGCCTAAATCGAAGGTTGCTGATAGACTTTGTGTGTGTGTGTGTATGTTTTATTATTTAAAATAATTCTATAATGATTTTTGAATACTACTTTTGTTCAATTGTCATTTCTACAGGAGCTACTAGGAATCTTTTGCTTTTTTTTTCAGAAATTGTTTATATTTGAACCTGGATATCTGAAGACCTCATTCAAGCTGAGTTTAATAACAATAAAGGAATAGTGATCTGGGAGTTAAGGAGTCTTGATTTTTGCCTCAAAAAACAGCATTAGAAAGAATTTGCTCACACTCCCAGTTGTCTTACAGTTAGTTAGGTATCTTTGGGAGTTGGTGAACTTCTTGTCTAGAAGGTGATCACCTAACATTATAAAAATACCATAATTAGTATTATTATAAAGGAGGTTTTGAATTATATAGTAGTAAAGAAATGTATACAGTTGATATTTTTAAGAAAACTGCTTCTAAAATCCTTAATTTAATGACACTGGTATGTATAAACTCAGACACGAGGTTTTGTTATAGAACGGTTTCTAACAGTTGATTAGAAGTATCTAAAATACATATTTTTTTCTTTCTCAAAAGAGCACTGCCTGAAAAAAGTCATATATATTTTTTTCATTTTTAATGAATTTTCCTTTAGAATAACCTTCCAACAGGGAGGAAAGAAAGACCATAGCTTTGTTCATGTTGCTTAAGAAATGCAAGTTTATATATGCTACTAAATAAGTAATTTTCAGCTTGCACAGTGAAAACACAACTTTTTTTTTTCTTAACCATTAGCACATAGAATTGAATTTTGTACAATCTCAAGTACTTTTATGTTACTGGAAAACACTATTTCCAAATCATTCCTCTGGCTATTTTACTGTATTTCCTGAGCTCTGGCAATTTTTAGAGAATGTTACAAAGTTTAGAAACATCTTGCCTGCATTTAAACTAAGGAAGGGGTATATAAACTAACAGGACTATGCACATCTTTCCAGAATAAAAGCTCAAAACTTGGTTTCTGTTGTTTTCCCAACAAGGTTTCAACCCAGTGATTATGTTCTGTCAACCCAACCCATGGATCAGGCCCATAGTGAACCAGGTAGACCTACATTGTACTTGGACTCAACAAGAGTTAGACTCTGGCCCAGAGGTGGTAAACTCATATCCTTTTCCAGCTAATGGTTATATTTTTATTTGGCCTGACTAATCATTTAAATTTATTGATTCAACATTTAAAAGTTTGGAGATTTGATGTAAAAATTTGGATTTCTTGGGCTGGCCTTGTGGGGCAGCAGTAATGTGCTGCTTAAGAATGTCAGATCTAGGGCCAGCCAGGTGACGTGCTAGTTAAGGCAATTGGATCTCATATGACTGACTGCCGTTCAAGTCTCAGACCAGCGACTTAAAAACATAGGGAATGTGTGCATGTGTGCCCAAAATCCCAAGAACCAATCATGGTGCAATCATCCCTCCTGTGGGTGCTTTCTCTCCCCTGCTTGTCTCTGTCCATGGAGCACAGGCCCTATAGCCAAAAAAACCCAAAAAACAAAAAAAACAAAAAATAACACCAAAAAACAAAAAGATAAAAATCCTAGAAAAACAAGCAGACTTCATGGCCTAGTGTTTGAGGCTTGAGAAGCATGCTGGCTGTGTGCATGTATGCCCAAAGTCACAAAGGAGGGAGAGATGGAGGAGAAGGAATTGCAGTGTGACCATGCCTCATGGTGGAGCAGGGGTTCATTCTCCTCTCCCTCTTTCTCTGGTGAGCACACACACCCTCTAGAAGAAAAGAAAAGAAAAAAGGAGAGGAGAGAAAAGAAAAGAAAAGAAAAGAAAAGAAGAAAAAAGAAAAGGAAAAAAGAAAGCAATATTCCACATAGCTACTGCGATTCAAATCTCAGCTTGAAAGACACTGGGTACACATGTAAGCACCCAAGATCCTATAGGCTGGAAGCCTGGAGGAAAGGGATTGTAGCATGATCAGACTCTGTAAGGGGTTTTCATCTCTCTCTTTCTCTCCTTTTTACTCTCATGTATATGACTCTTTCATGAATAAATAAAAAATAAATTAAAAATAAATCTGGCTTTGTGGGTTTTGTTTGTTTGTTTGTTTTAAAATCAGCTGACAGGCCCTCATTGCCTGTAAAGGCAGTGCTTGGCGTGAGTTGAGTAGGACACCCCTTTTAGATTGGCCATGAACCATTTGATTTTCTTTTTTTTCAAGAAAGATTTTTGCTACAGGGTGAGTGAGGTTGCTGGAGAGACAAACAGAGATAGAGAGACAGAAAGTGAGAAATCACTCCTGTTCCCAACAGGGAAAGATGGCCACACTGCAGTCCCTTCTCCTTCATTCTCCTTTTGGGATTTTGTGCATGCATGCATACTTGCCCACCCTGAGTTTCAAGCCTCTGGGTCCAGGACTCAAAACAAGGTCAGCCATGTGGGAGTCCAGTGACATAACCATTATGCCCTCTGCTGGTCCCAAGCCATTTGATTTTTATATTATTAAAAAAAAAAAAATACAGGTCTGGCTGGTGGCTTATTGGTTAAGGCGCTGAACTGCCACATGGCTACCATGGTTCAAGTCCCAGCCCTGGCAGCTTGCTTTCTCATTGCCCCCGCCCATCTCTCTGGACAAATTAAAAATACATTAATAATTATACAAGTAAATAAATGATTCCTTAAAAATTACAATTCATTTAAAAGATTTTAATGACTTCATTTGCTATTCTAGAATTGCATATACTTTGTTCCATAAAATAGAATAAATGTTCTAGTAACCCACATGCAGGGAAGCTGGTTTAATAGATAGAGAAGGGATAAGAAAGCAGAAATCAAAGAACAAAAAAACGGTTTCAAAGTGACTTTCCTTGTGAAATGGAGACTGGGAGACAGAACAGAAAAATAACCTAGCAGTTAATACCTGATTACTTCTGATTACTTCTTTTGTGTGAAGATTATAACAGAGGAAAATTTATTATGCACTTTAAAATTGACGTGTTTGTGAAAGTAGGCTGTTCTCTCTCTGGATTTCACAGGTTGTATGAAAACTGCTTTGGTTTGGTGACCTGGAGACATGAGTGACTCTGTTTTGATCCTTAGTCTGGTCTGTGGGGCCTACTACACAAGCTTAGTCCAAAGTAATGGCCTCTTGAGATTTCATTTAACAGGATTC